GGCACGAGAAGTGCAAAAACGCATAATCGCACCGGCCCGCCTGGTGCGTTCCAGCCTGGGTTATATGTCAATGTAACAGCACTTCCGTTAAAATCCCCACATTTTTCGTACGCTACGTCGACTGTAATAGATTCCTCTGTTTGTTTTTCAGACGTCCAATACGCCATCTGTATATTTTGGCGAAAGATTTGCTGGGCAGTTTTGAGAAGGAAACAAATATTTCTACTCGCGTACTGGCCACTTTTCCGGGTACCGAATTACATGGATTGATGTACCGAAATGTAATGTTCAGTGATTTGGCACAACCCTTTTTGGATGCCAAGCATGTAACAACATCAATGGGAACGGGTCTTGTTCATACAAGTTATGCGCATGGCAACGATGATTTTCGAGTAAATTTTTTGATTTTTTCTTTTGATTGCTGTAGTACTTGTGTTTTTCGGTTCCTTTGGTGATCACATTATCAATCGTTCCGCTACGTTCCGTCTTGTACGTAAAAGTATTACTAACTCAAAAGCTTCGTTCCGATTTTTTGCGTTACTGATGTCGATTTTCTGTTCGGTATCGACTTTTGCTTTTGTGGTAGTTCCCTGATTTAGCAGAGGGCCTTAAAATGGGGCATTCCAGATATTTTGATCTGAATTTTTTCAAAAAAGTTTTTGAAATATTTTTGATGGTCACATTTGATGATTTGTGTTTCGGCATGCCTAATTTGATTGAGAATTACATTAAAGATCATTAGCAAAGGCTCATCAGAGCAAAGACCGTTAGCTCTACCAATGGCAACACGAACGTATCGAAAGATCCAGAAGTAGTGGGGAGAAGTTCAATTCGCAAGAATCTATTTTTTATTGCGAAATGGATCCTATCCTCTTCCCCCTCTTTTCTTCTCCCAGAAGCATGGAGTAATTTGTTGCTGATGTAATTTGCTTAATGCTGAACATTTTTATATTAAGATGGCGATGAAACGCGGTGAAAAAGTGCACTGTTTTGTGGACGAACAGGGTTGCTACACAAGAGATCTTGGACACGAGTTGGAGGGCAAGAATGTTTTGGCTGAAGGAAATGAATTCGTACTGCGCATGTTTCAGAAGCATGTTGTGCATGAGCATGCTTACAAACACCAATATCCCTATGATTGGCGGACAAAGCAGGTGCTTTTTATTATGCAAAAATCGTTTTTAGTGATGAAAGTTCTAGAAGGACCAAGAATTTTGCGATATCGCTGTGGAAAAAATATTGTAGAAATTTTTGTGTGCTAGTGAACGTTTATCATTACATAGGAATTTGTTCTGCTGCAGAAATAGCCCAAACACAGTTCTGGGAATTGCAACCCTGAAAATGATGGAAAAGAAGTAATTTTTTAACAGAAGTAAGTTTTAGCCGGTGATTATTCGAAGCAGTGCACAATGGTTTATTGATGTTTCGCAGATTGGCATGGAAGCAGCCGAGGCAATCGAACGAGCAAAAATGCCAATTGGAAGTGCCCGATCTGGTAAATCTTGGTCTTACTGGGCAGATTGCAGCATCCAGTTTGACCCTGGAAGTGTAGATGGCAAGCTGTGAAGGAGTTCAGGAAAAAGTAGTTGTGTAGATTAGAGAAGTTGAGAGCGAGATAAGACGTTTCGGTCCATTAATTCATAAATGTCTTAAATGGAAGTACGGAGCTCAGGATCGAAGGAGGCCCTGTATTTAGTACTTACTAACCGTGAATACAGGGCCCCGTTCAGCCCTGAGCTCCACATACTTCCGGTTAGCACCTCTGGTGCATTCCATCCTCTCTTCGTTTATTTCCTGCTGAGTACCACATAGCACTGATGCA